AATAAGAGTCGACTCCGGCAACCCATTCAGTTTGCTTCTTTTACTTCTTGTCCTATTTTAAGACATGTACTATACTTTACTATATATATTCTATTTCAATTACTTTTGACTTTTTTACTTGATCGACTCAACACAATTTTACTCGCAGAATACGTTTCAACGATCTCCGGGAGTCTTGTGACATCGGGCAACGTCATTGCGTCGATCACCAAAAAACTGCTTCAAGGGAGTGGACCCGATGTGAAACAAAGTGATGAGGAGTTCTTTGCAAGAGTCGATCAAAAGGAAATGACTCCAAAAGATCGGGACCACTATTGTCGAGTAGTAGTGGAGTACAGTCAGACGGAGTGTTCTCACATTCATGGTCTTGAGCTATTAATTGATGTCTATTTAGAGCCAATGTACAAAGAGTCGAAGAAGGTGTTAAAGAAAGAGGACTCCGAGTTTATTACTGTTGTTATTACACAAGTCAAGACTTTAATAGAAGTCCACAAGAACTTTCTTGAAATGTTCCAACAAGGACTTTTAAAAACTAAAGCCGGAGAATTGCCAACTTTTGGTATTGAGTTTGTCAAAAGTCTTCAGTTTTTAAAGATGGCGTCGCAATATATTGGAAATTATAACACGTATGTCACACGACTCACTAAAATACTCGAGGCCGATCCGATCTTTGAAAAGGTGATTAAAAAAGCTAAAGAAAAATACGTGACGGGAGAGAATTTGGAAAATTTGTCGGTGGACGCCATTCAGCCCATGTCATTCTATTTAATTACACCAATTCAACGAATTCCACGATACGAATTACTGATTAGAGATATGTTAAAGGATGTCGGTAAAGACTTTCCTGATTTGGAGAATTTGAAGAACGCGTATCTCCAAGCTAAGGAGTCGGGAAGAGGTGTTAACACCACAAGAATGCAAATTGAAGAGAATGAAAAGTTCCAATTGGTCCGAGACTTGATTAAGGGGGAACTTGTTATTAAGGATCAAGCAGCAAGGAAATTTATTATGGCGGGAAGCATTTACTTTGTCGAAAATGTCAATACTCCACCAGTCACTTTACTTTATGTCTTTTTATTTAATGATGTCATGCTAGAGACATTGCCCACGACTGTTGAGTTTGTTATACTATATAATATAATATAATATAATATAGATAAGAATAGTTAACGTGTAGTGGTGTTGTAGTTGATTGGAATAATCCTGAGAGTGTAAAAACGGCATATACCTCACTGAATTCCAAAAGAGATGTTAAAGAACTCTCAAAGTGCTCATTTGATTTAGTTCGAGAACTTCCATTTACTTTGGGGCAATGCGTCTTTAAACCGATTCATGACACGTCGGAAGTCAAAAACATGTTTTCGATCTTATTAAGAGAATATAAGACGATAAGAGGAGTTGCAAAGGACTTTCCGACGTTGGGGAAGTATTCGGCGTTAACGCAAGAAGATAAAGAAGTGTGGGAAAGTGTGATCTACGACCAATTTAGATACATTGACGACTCGATAGAGAACAAAGAAAAGCTTCTTAAAAACAAAGATGAGAATTTGGCGTCAGAACTCTCGAGAATTCAAAACTCTAAACAACGATCGTTTTCAGTTACAAGTGGGAGCGGGATATCATCAAATAGTTCACAATCAACGGGATCGGGACAACAACTTTCAGATGGGTCATCGGTGGTTTCCTCTGAAAGTTGTTCGACTACGATAGTTGGTGTGACGAAACCCGTTACTACTACTGTTCCATTGATAACTCCAACTGAAGTCCAAAAACCACCGAAACCATTTTCTATACAACACATCACATCGAACCCGGGGAGTTTAATTACAAGTGGTAACGTCATTGCGGTGGTCACGAAGTATTTATCTGACTGGGAGAACACTGAAAAGAGTTCAAATGATAACGACTTTTTCAAAGCGATTGACGAGAGAATGATGGGAGAGAAAGAAAAGGCCCACTACAGGAGAGTCTTCCATGAGATGACGGAGACGGAGAGAATACATTTGAATGGGTTGAAGATATTGAAAGAAGTCTATTTAACACCTATTACCAAATCAAGTGTACAGGATACCGTCACATTTGTAAAACCAATCGTTTCACAAATCGATTTGCTTCTAACAACTCACCAGAAGTTTCTGGAGATGATGGAGAAAGCTGAACATGTTTCTGAAGGCGAGTTTCCGATTATTGGAGCGGACTTTGTTAAGAATGTTTGTTCTATAATTATAGTTATACAATACTATATTATTGATATTAATGTGAATAGTATTAATAATTATTTAGAATAGTATATTAATAGATTAGATCCAATTCCTCAAAATGGCTGCTACTTATATTTCAAAGTACTCAACGTATTTAATGGGCATCACTGATATTCTTAATAAAGAAAAAGACGTCGTGAGAAATCAGAACAAAGCAAAGGCCGAATATTTAAAAGTACACGAAGGCTCTAAAGTTGAAATGATCTCGTTCTATTTAATTACACCAATTCAACGAATTCCACGATACGAATTACTGATTAGAGATATGTTAAAGGACGTCGGTAAAGACTTTCCCGATGTCGAACAGTTAAAGAAAGCGTATTTACAAGCTAAAGAATGTGGGAGAGGTGTTAATCAGACTCGTATGCAAATTGAAGAAGGCGAGAAGATGACATTAGTGAAAAATGCGATTGACAACTTCCCACAACTTGAGAATGTCTCTTCTCGAAAATTCATCTGTTGTGGTCCACTACTGTCTGTGATGAATATGAAAGACTTTCCGTCGAACATGGTCTTTGTCTTTTTGTTCAATGATCTTCTCATCGAGACCAAAGTTGTGAAATACAATAAAGTTGAAATGAAAAATGAAAGTACTTACGATCCAGTCCTCTTTAAAGAACTCTCTGAGATCAAAGCGATCGAAGACATTAATGTGGCGCACTTTGAGTTTAATTCCATTTTCTTTCTTCGGCCGAACTCTAAAGTCATGGCACAAAACGACTCGATGATGGTGAAGAATGTCTTCATGTTCATGGCGTTTGAAGAAATTGAGAAAAATGGGGTTAAAAGTGAGACCCACACATGTCCCAAATATTCGGCGATTTCTGAAGACCAGAAGGAGGCGTGGAAGTCCGTGATTAACGACCAAATTGCTTGTATGAAAGAGAAAGAAGAGAAGTTGAAGAAGACACAAGAGAAGATACAAAACATCTCGGAGCTCCCAATCGTCGAAAAGGTGTCAACGAAGGTGTTTGACCGCTCGTGTGCGAAATTTTCAACGCCCCGTGTTGGGACGTTGGTTACAAGTGCGGGGCCCATATCGACTGTCTTAAAAGCATTACAAGACGGAATTAATAATTCTGAACAAGAGGTGAAACACTTGTTTGAGAGTGTGGCGAAGAAAGAAATGAATAAAGACGATGAGAAGAGATATATGGCGGTCTTGAGAGATCTCCGGCATTTGGAAACAAGTCATTTGTGGGCACTGAAGACACTGAAAGAGGTTTATTTAGTCCCAATGAGTAAGTCAGTATCGAAGGAACAAATGTCAAATGTCAACGATTGTATTGCACAAGTCGAAATTATGTTAAATATCCACGGCGATTTTTTGAAAACGTTTAATAAAGCAAAACACAGAACTGCGGAAGGGAAGGTCCCACAGATTATGGCGGAGTTTATGAAAAATGTTTGTTTATAACAATAATATAATTATATAATTATTATATTACTATTTATATTATTAAATAATTAATACTATTTTTATAGTAAATAAGATACTAAAAAATAGATTCAATTTTTAAAAATGGAGTCAACATATATAACCAATTTCAACGTCTATAAACGCTTGTTTAATGAATATATGAAGGAATCAGTTGTTCAAAAAATGATTCAAAAAGCGAAAGACGACTTTTTCAAACAGATGAAAGACAAGATGCCGATTGAATCGTTTGAGTTCTGTCTGCAACAACCGTTGACACAAACACCAAGGTATGAGAACTTCTTGAAGGCGATGTTAAAACACGTTGGGAAGAATTTTGAAGAGTTGGGAGAACTGAAGAAGACGTATTTGGATGCGCAAGAGTGCACGAGAGATGCTGTAATAATGAAGAGTCAATTAGAAGAGAATGAGAAGACGGTGACTATACGAGACTTGATCATTGGGACGTTTTCGAATGATGTGATATCAACACGGAAATACCTTTGTTCAGGGCCCCTCTTTGTAGTTGAGAAGTTAACGGAGGTACCACAGAATTGGATGTATTTCTTCTTATTTAATGATCGGCTAGTAGAGACGGAAGTCCTGTCGTATGATGGTAAGCCGATTAAAGATAAATTGGATGCGTTTGGGAAATTGCGAGTTGCCAAAATGATAGAGGACTTGAAGGTGTTTAAATATAAAATAGTCAAAGAGTTCATCTTTAATCCGGAAACCACGTTGGAAGTGCATCCGTCGAATACCCAATGCAAATTTGTGATCTTATTGAAAATCTCACAAATTCCTTTCCGATTTTCATGTTCGACGGAAAGCGAGTGCGACGCGTGGAACTCGATCATCTTTGATCAAATTGAAAAGATGAAAGAAGTTGTGAAGACGAAGGAACAAGCAAAGAGCTCGGCAGTCAGTTTTGAACTCCAAATGAATTCACCAAGGAAATTCACGGAACTGCAACCACAAACGATCGAATCATCACAAAGAGTGAGTTCAGAGTCGTCACCACGAAGAGCGCAATCACTCGAACCAGAGAAAATCAATACCGACCAAAAGTTCGTGGCAAGAACACCAAGAAATAATAAAACGAACGAAAAACTCCCCGGATCACCACTCGCAAGAAGAAACAGAAGAGTAAATGAAGACGAAAAGATGCAAGAACTGTTTAAACTGCAACAAGAGAATTCACACAAATAATAGAAGGGAACCAGGTTCTGGTTACTAATTTAATTTACTAGTTTGTATGGTTTATGGTTGTATAGTTTGTTTTATTATATTAATACTATATATATAGTACTGACATATGCAACGATAGTACCACTTTTTTGGGTCAAGAAAAACAATAAACAGACTGAGATGGGCGACATCGAACAACTCCAAAGTCAACTCCAGTTATTGCGAGAGAATTCGGAACTACTCATGTCATACTACGACACACAGGTGGAATTGTATAAAACTAAAATAGAGATGACACGTAATAATCTTCAACTCGAGGTCGAAACGCATTACCAGAAGAAGCAAGACGTTTGTTTGATATCAATATGTTCTATATTATATTATTATATATTATTATATATTAAAATTATATTATTATATAATAGTAAAAAATAACTCATTGGAAGTGTTTTTCAAAGCTCAACGAATTACAAAAAGAAGCGGACGTACTTCAGAAAAAAGTTGCCGCACAACAAGACTACCAAAAATCTCTTCTGGACGGAGAGAGAAATGGTTCACTCAAAAAGGAAATCAACGCACTTAAAAAGGATATTCAAATGCTTGACATTGAAAAAGAAGTCCTCACGAAGAAACACCAAGTCGTCTTGCTCCGCACAGATAGTTCTAAAAAAGAGGTTTGTATGTTCTTTGCATCAGTAAGAGGATGACTCATAACAAGAACGAAATACTAAAAAAACAACTTGGAGGGTTACGCCAAGAACTTTCGGTGGTCGAAAATCAGTGTAGGAAGCTTCAAGAGCAGCGAAAAAGAGGGCGGCAAGACCAGACAGACCCATCTAACTAACTACTACTACTAATTAAAATAAATTAATAATAATAATACTATTTATCTTTTTAAACTATTGAATAATAAAATTTTTTAAGTAGTTTAATAAAAATTATAATAATTTGAAAAACTATATATTAAAGATATATTATAATTAATAACATAATTGTTGTCTGATGTTAATTTGACTAAAAACACAAAATGTGTTGAAAAAATATAAAAAGGTTGAAATTCCAGTAAAAATCGTGAAACTGTATTTTTTAAAAACGTTTCGAATAATTTCTTGAAATATTTCAGGTTAAATGGTCAAATAATTAACAGACAACATACTAAGATTTATTATATTATAAATAATAATATATATTTTATAGTAACTCTAAATAATAATATATTTATAATATTAAATAATAAAATTTTTATTCTATTATGGTTTATTAAAACTACAATAATAATAGATAAAAAAAAAACTAATATTCAGATTTTTATCTGACTTATTATGTGTCTTATTTGTAGTTTTTATAGTTTGTCATTTTTTTATTACTTCATGTAAATGGTTTTTAAAATCATTTCTTTTGAATTGTATTATTTTTTAACTATTTATCTAATTAATTATTAATAATATACAACAGTAAAAATGTAATAGTCTGAAATGTCTTTCCAAAAATGAGTTTTATTTTTAAATTACAAAGTAATTTATAAATATACTATATAGTATATTTACTAGTTACTTAATATAATCTGTGTCTTTATCAAAAAGATGCAAAATAATGAAATTGTTTTTTTAAATCGAAATTTCAAAAAGTAGTTTAAAAAAATATTGTAAACACGAAATTATTATAATCATATAATGTTTGATATTTTTTTTAAAATTGGTAATTTTTTTCTTTCATTGCTTTTGAATTATCAAATCTTTCGACTCTTTTTTTAACGTTTTTTTTTACAATTTAATACCAATAATTATAAATTATAATGAATTCATTAACTTTATAATACCTAAACATTAATTAATTTATACTATTAAACCAAATCATTTAATCTATATATGAAAAAAGTCGACATTTTAATATAAGAATAGAACATCTCTCTCCAACAGGCATCTGCCTATTTTCCATTTAATAATAATATAAAGGAGGTGTTCAAAACTTGTAAATTCAATGTTCGCTCTTCTCTTGTTGGCAACCATTTGCTCTGCTAAAACATACCCATTGACTATCACATCATGCAACACTACTGCTCCAGTTATTATCCACACTTTAACAGTCCAACCAGACAACCCCATCAACTTGAAGACTGGCTTCACTATGAATATGGACATTGAGATCACAAAACCAATTGAAAAGGCTAAACTCTCACTTGTTTTTGAAAAGGATGTGTTGTTTTGGGTCACCATCCCTTGCGCTAATAATGTCGGAAGTTGCACTTATGAAAACGTTTGTGATATCTTGGCAAACGTCACAGATAAATGCATGAACGCAACAAGATCAAGAGGATATGACAACGTCCCATGCTCTTGCCCAATTGCTGCCAACAGATTCGTTGCAACTATCCCAGTCCCAACCATCGAAGTCCCAAGTAAATACGCATGGTTGGCTTCTGGAAATTATAAAATCCATCTTGAGATGTCTGACGATGGAAATAATCTTGCTTGCTATGATGTTAAATTCTCTTTGACTGTTTAACAGTAATCAATTCCATGATGTTCTTTTATTTTTATAATTATTGATATTTATTAAAAAGTAATTAAATAAAAACTATTAAATTGTTTATTATTTGTTTCTTAACACATTCGCTGTTTCCCCTTTTATTTTTTTCAAAGAGCATAGAAAAAATGATAATTTTGCTTTTTTTTTAAATTCATTGTAAACTTGTTTTATTTTTTCCAGAGATTTTTTGCCACACAATATCTTATTTAAAAATATTACAACAACAGAAACATAATCCTCAAGATTTGAACAAAAATTATAACGAAAAGATTGATTGATTGCAATTTTTGGAATTAACCCAAATTGTTAGCACTTTTCCCGTCGTCAATATTTTTATTCCGATAAAACACAAACCATCATTTTTCTCTTTTTAGTACACGACTGTCATTCTTTCTCATGTTTTTCATGTTCATCGACAATTCAAGACAATTTGAAAGGTTCCGACAGTGATATAACAACATTTTTGAATTTTAGACCCAATTTCATGTTGTTGTCATATGAAAAAAATACGAATCCATCTTCTCGACAAGCAGTCCCTCGTCGCTCGACAAATTTTTGTCGTCATCGTGATCTATTTATTTTTTTTCGAATTATTTTTATTGTTTTTTAAATTAATATTATAATTATTATATAAATAATAATATCCTTATGATTTTGTGTTGAAACCGACTGATTTGACCTAAATTCAAATCAAAATTATGTGTTATACCTCTTCTCAGCTACTGTTTGTACGCCCGTAAAAACCAATTTTTTTTGTCCGTACTGGGTAGACGCAGATGTCATTTTCCCGCAAGTGGGTGATCCGCGACTGGGGATGACAAAACGTGGGTAAAATGGGCGCACAAACAGATTGTTTGACTGCGTCTTCTTGAGCTTTCTATTTAATACTCCGTATCACTAACCCAAGGTAAACATTGATTGTTTACCTGTTCGACATTAATTAATTGAAACCATACCAATATTTACTTTATTATTTATATAAAGTGACTTCCCCAAGGTGTGCAAGTTAAATTTTTAGTCTTTTTTACAGGGAAAGGGCGTGCAAGACTAAATTCCAGTTGAAAAACATTTTATTTAAAAATGTTATTCGTTTCCAAATTGTTTCAAAAAACACACAACCCTTTGGTGCTTGAATTAATAAACTACAAAAAGCAAATTAAATTATAAAAATTGGGTTATGGTTTGTCTATGTGTTTAATGTAAAACTGTTTTGTTTCAAGAACGTGAATATTTGTCGATATCTCTTGTGTTAGCGTAATTCAAACGACAAGAAGAAGTATGATAAACATTATGTTTTTCTCTGTGCCATTTTATAGCAAACAATAACAAATAGTCTGTTTAATAGGTGCAGTTCATTGTCACAAATCGATGTGTACTGTTGTCCAGAACTGGTCCTTCGATAATTTCCATTGGGTCGCTTTCCCGAAATTGTTGCTTAATTTATTGTATTCGAAGTGTGAAAGTTAAAAATTGCAACGTCACAAGGTGTGCAAGTTAAAGTATAGTTTAGTAATAACTTCGAAATTATAATTAATAATTAAACTAAAAATAATCTTTTTTTTTCAAAATTTCAAAAAATTAATGATTCTATTTTTTTAATAAAAAAATTATAAATGAACTATACCTTAACTTGCACACCTTGGGAAGTCACTTTACTATTATTATAATTAATATATATTATCAAATATAAATTTGTTTATTCATTTTTTATTATTTATATTTTACAATAATTAAGGGTAATTGGGTCTTTCATGTAAAAAGTTGACGGAAATAAAAACTCACAAAAAAGAAAACTTATTATAGGGGTCATATAAATTGGTTGTTTTCCATCAATTAGTTGAAGATTTTGGTAGAACTTCGAGAACATAAAAATGAAATTTTTGTTGAATAATTACGATATGTTGCTTTCCATTAAAAAAGGAAAAACCTAATATGCATTTTTGAGAAACGGTACAAAAATATTA